AGTGTAACTAGGTATTTGCACTTAGTGTAAATAGCATATTGCTAAAAATACTGCTGTTTTCACTTAGTGTAAATAGAATCCATTGCTAATACGAGATTTGTAAAGGGAGGAAAAAAAAGTTCGGCAAAAGGCGGGATCGAACCTGGGTCTATCGCGTCAAAAAGCCAAGGGCACACACTTATCCATCTGTGCCACTAGAGCTGAAGATTTGCAACTACTTTTAACTAAATGTAAATAGACACCCCGTATTTTTTATTCCAGAGTAAGGACAATTCATACAATACATATAAACTGAGCTACTTTAATACCATCGCCAAACTTTCTACCACAACTCTGCTGTTCTTCGGCTGGTTCTTCCTGTATACGTTGATTGACAGATGTCTCGTCCAGTCAGCGGTGAGTAATTCCAAACCAATGGTGCGGTCTCAAACTATTCCTACCTCTTCCGGTTTGTCTGATTTGTCGTTGTGTTTTCTGACTTGTTATAATGTTTTCTGATTTGTTATTGTGCTTTCTGAATTGTTATTTTGTTTTTTAGACTTGCATTTGCGTTTGTAATTTGTTATTTTGGTTTCAGAATTGTGATTTGCTTTGCACTTCTCGGCCACCGTACAATAGTGATGGTTTATAGATCATCCCTGTGGGTTTGAACCTATAGCCTTTCGATTTCCAGTCTAGCTAGGCTACATATTCAAAACTGGGCTTTCAAGGTGATCCATGCTATTGTATACTTGAAGTTTGACGTTTTTTTCTTCTGCTTTTGTAGGTCCTTGTTGCACCAGTTACTGAAAAAGGAGCTTTACAAAGAGACATATACCTCCCGGAGAGTGACTTTCAGTGGCAGGACACTAACAATGCTCAAGTGTTTGATGGAGGGACGTTTCTGGAAAGTTATCCAGTCGGCCTTGGGGACGTGGCGGTTTTTGTACAATGGAGATCCTGAGGCTTATTTACCACTTTTTTTCTATTTTTGAAATTTTCACATGTGCTGATCTCAAATTGCACTTTCCATAAAGACCATTATCTGTGTCTCAAGGAATCTTGAGATTAGGTAGAAGATAATTTGCACTTTAAAAATCAAAGTGATTTATATTTTCTCATGATTTTTAGATCCCTCTTGTTTTCTCAGCTACTTGTTTTAATTCGTACATTTTTTTTACTTTTTTCTTCAGAACGCAGTTTACATTTAATAGGTTCTTACAGCCTCTTAAATTGTTATCATGATATAAAGCTAGAAATCAAACTCTTTGCTTAAGAACAATCAATGGAATTTTATGAAGACCAAACAATCGAAAAAAATCGCAAAATTGAGAAAGACTCTACAAGGAAAAACCAATGCGCTAAATGGATGAAGATGAAAATACGCTAAAACATCACTCATCTCATCTCAGCTGAGTTTTTACTTGAACTTT